CTGTAGAAAGTAAGAATGAAGAAAGGAGGGTTTGCACTAGCAGCAGTTGGCATACATATAGGAAACCCTAATTGGGTTGTACTCGCTATAGAGTACCCCACTGCAGGCTAGAGCATAATATTCTGACACACCCCCATAGCCAAAGTGGGGTGTAATCAGCAGAGAAAGCAAAGCAGTACAAGCTCAGGGTGGATCACAATGTCACCACACATTCTGAGCACAAGTTTAAGAAGCAATAGTTTAAAGTGCACAATTATGAGCAAAGCTAGAGGCAGTTACAGAGGGCAAGTGAGGAGGAGGAGGGCTGGCGAGAGGAGAGAAGAGTGGAGGCGACGACTGAAGCTGCAGACACACGGGCAACAGACGGCTCTGGTGCAACTCTAGTGGCTACCGGGAGCAAGGGCCCCGGAATACAGGAGTAACAGGCTCTGCAACTGATCAGCAGTGACAGGAGCAACGGACCCACGGGCGACAGGTGCAACCGGCTCTCTGAGCTACCGGTGGCTATCAGAACCCCGGAATACAGGCGCTGCAGACGACACGACGGCTGCCTCCACCCAACCTCCTCCAACTGTCCCACACCCCCCAACACACACCCCCTGCTGAAACCCTAGCTCCACTCCCATGGCACCCCCCTTAAACCCTAAACCCTCGGCTCCCACACACCCACCCCCCTGAGCAGCAGCTGCAGCAGTGGGAGACGGAGGAGGAGGAGGAGCAGGGGACGGCTGACAGAGACGGCACCCCCATACGCTCCACCCCCAAACCCTAATTCAGGAGTACGGGCAGCAGCAGGGGTGGGGCGCCGTCAGAAGCGCGAGGGACGGCGTGCAGCTCAGTGGGAGAGGAGACCGGGCGCCCGCGGGCCAGGCGCAGCCCGTACGAACCGCGCGCAGGCGGCCCGAGGCGCGCGCGGGCCAGGCGCAGCCCGTACGGGCCGCGCGCGGGCCTGGCGCAGGCCGTACGGGCCGCGCGCGGGCCTGGCGCAGCCCGTACGAGCAGCGCGCGGGTTGTACGGGCCGCGCGCGGGCCTGGCGCAGCCCGTACGGGCCGCGCGCGTGCAGGACAGGCCGCGCGCGGGCCTGGCGCAGCCTGTACGGGCCGCGCTCGTGCAGTACGGGCCGCGCACGGGCGACGGGGGCGACGCGCGGGTCCCCGGGGGCGCTTCGGCGGGCGACGGGGGGAGAAAACCGCCGCGCGCCTCGGGGCGCACGGCGGGCAGAGAACCGCCGCGCGCCTCGGGGCGCACGGCGGGCAGAAAACCGCCGCACACCTCGGGGCGCACGGCGGGATGAAAAATCCGTCGCACGCCACGAGGCGTGCGACACACAGAGTAGCAGTAGCAGTAGCAGTAGCAGCGGAAGGCTTAGGTGGTGGGCCCACCCACAGGATCGACCCAGGAGGGTCGACCTGCTCTGATAGCATATCAGAACTAGCTGTAGAAAGTAAGAATGAAGAAAGGAGGGTTTGCACTAGCAGCAGTTGGCATACATATAGGAAACCCTAATTGGGTTGTACTCGCTATAGAGTACCCCACTGCAGGCTAGAGCATAATATTCTGACAGTCGCCATGTCCTTCAACATGGCTAGTGCGCTGGGCGACGTGCTGGGTTTGTATGTTGTCGAATTACCCCCCTTGTACTCTGCTACGTAGGCTCTACGAGTGGACCTTGCGTGTGTGTGTACTCAAGCGTGAGCTGGGCAGGGGAGTGTCGAAGAGAAAAGGCCCCTCCCTCACTTAGGCGGAGTCGACCATGCTTCCTGGAGCATAACGGTGTTCAACCGGCTTCGTTTTGTTGTCATCGATGATTTCGGGGACATTTAAGTATACAACAACCTCTATAAATTTCATCTGTGTCCGACGAAGCATCTGTCGACGTGATTAACTCGTCGATGACAAAGCCTTTTTGTTGGGTAACAAAAATGCACGTCGACGAGAAGTTGCTCGTCGACGAAATTGACGAAATCGTAATTTTAACGGAGTGCTGGTCGACAAAATTTAGCTCAGCAAGAGAGCATCGCCAAGCAGAGCGTTTCCCGTCAACCATATTAACTCGTCGCGCGAAATTCGAATGTGCGTTAATTTCGCGGAATCGCGAAAGATGAAATTTTGACCCAACATATGCTTTAGGAATTGTACATGCCAGGAGAATTCAAATCAATAAGAAAACTAAAATTCAAACACGTTTTTGCAAACTATAAAAATGCATAGAACTGTTAATGATTAAATACATAAGCAACTGTTAAATTAGGTGACAGATGCTTGTCGTGTTACTTGCCGTTGCTGACTAATTAGGGCACCGGCTTAGTTGTTGTAGGGGTTCTTTCCCTTTGCTATTTGGTTCTCCTTGAATTCTACCAAGTCAATCAACCATTTTGTCAAAAATCACTTCCACATCTCTTTCCGTGAGCCTCACCCAATTCAGCTCTACCGTGAAATAGCATTCTCTGCAGAAGCGCGAGAAGGTAGCCTTGTAGTACATCCTGGCCACCGAGCAAGTCCGGCCGAATTTCTGTCGAAGGCGTTGCACTTTCCAACCTTCAACCGGGGCACTATCGCGATCGGCCAAGTGCGTTTGACTAACGTCTGCAACGGTGACGATGTCGTGCAGTTGTAGGCGCCATGTCCTTGTGCATGGCTTGTGCGGTGAACGTCATAATGTGTGTTGGGTGCACGTTAATGACGATGTTTCCCTATAGAGTCTTTTCCCTTGGGCTCTGAAGTGGACCTTGGGTGAGGTGCCCTAGCTTGAGCGCGGCAGGGGCGCGTTGACGGTAAATGAATTCGTCCTTGCTTGGACGATGAAGACATTGCAGTTGGGTGCGCGGGGGGTGTAGGTGGTGGCTTGCGGACTGCGTGGGACGTGTACGCGGGACATTGACCGGGTAAAGGTTCGCGATCCGGGTGGCGTCGACCTGGGCGGACGACAAGCACGTACTGAGATACCTGGTCGACGAGGTTCCACGGACGTATGCGATAGTTGTCGAGGTTGTTTTGGCAAAGTCGACCAATGTGAGAGCACGTGGTCCGCGTGGCTCGTGAGGCTCAACTATTGACAAATGACCAACTTGGCATCTGGGTGATGTGCGGAACGGTGCACGCCATCAAATGCATGGGGTTGCTATGTAGTCCAAATGCTAGGGTTCCTTAATTAACAAGCTGGGACACGGCAGCGGTGCACATCAGCATAAAACTGCACTTGCAGGGTGATTATATATCCTTGTCTGATGATGACAGGGTAGACATATAGCCAAACTCAATTCTAGCAAGGTGGGTATGAAAAACCATCCTAAAATGCAGGGCAAAAAGGATAAAATGTCCTGATTTTCTGAGCCCTTGTAACTAACAGAACTTCCGTTCCGAACTTGATCTGCAAAACGGTACAGGTACGACTGTTGAAGTTTCAAGCCCCAAAGAGCTAGGTTGGAGTGTTGGCTGAGAAGACGCCACGGTAGCCTTTTTGCATCATGCAAGCGTTGATTGGCAGGATTTAAAAATATCACTGCCTCGGCGGGAGAATATCATTCGTTTCGGGTTACTCTTCCGTTCGAAGAATCTGCTGGTAATCATCCTTTATTTCCGATAAGATTCTTTATTTAGATGATTTGTTCAATCTGTAGTCCCGCTTCTGGAACATTCAATGTAACATCGATCCAATAAAGGCATGCACGCACCAACCCATCCTCAGACCAGCTGTTGTTAGCTGGAGAATATGGAAACTTACAGCCGATATTTTGAGCTGCTGAACAATGAATGTTTCGGGGTAGAGACGACAATGGTTCAGTTCTATAGGGTTGTTGGTGGAAAATAGGCTGGAATGGAGAACAAGGACATTCATGCACACGTAGTGAATGCAATGGGACCTACAAAATGCATCAATCGGAAGGTGATCCGATCCCGAACCAAGCACTATTCCACCCAAACAATTTTGCCGTGTTGTTTCCACCACCAACACACTGAACCTTTTTGGCAGACTTGCACGAGCCCAGAACGTGGTGTCCCCTAATTTTTTCCACACCGAACAAATTCACCAGTGAAACTACACCTCCGATGCTTCGATGAAGTGGGTTTAAGTACGACATAGACGTTCGTAAGAAGCTGTAGTGGATTCATATCCTGAAGAGGCGAACCCGAAGTCTCGCTGAGAATCCATCGTGGTTGGAACAACTGTAATGTATGATATCCTGAAATGCATCAGGGGTGTTCCATGTTAACCCTACTTTTTCACCATGGGCACCTTGTTTGTGCACCAAAGTGGACCAAACGGTTGCACAATAAATGAGCGAGGTAGGTGTTCCACTGTTTTGGTTTTCGAAGCATCAAGTTTTGAAGGTGGTGGTTGACAGAAGTGCAGAACCCAGCGCAAGTGTATCCATCCGTCCAATGCCAAGCGTGGTTATCTCGCACTCTATTGGTCCACTTTCTCAGCGTACAATCTCCTCCGCAACTTCTCCGCCATCCCTCCACTACCCATGCGAGCAGAATCTCACACAACATCGTTCCAAAACGGGCCATCACATCCAAGTGCCTGCCAGCCAACACAGAATCCCTCACCCGCAAAAACCTCCCAGCTTTAGCTCAGTACTTAGTTCAAGCGGAAATAAACTGACACGATCATTTCACAGCGTCCTAACAGGTGTATTCTACGTAAGCACGTATGCTTCCCTTGTAACTGTGTTCAACTGTGTTTGCCAGCTAACAACCACGAGTGATGGCGTCTCAGCTCGGTCGCGTAGCATGTCGAGTCAGCCCGGCCACAGGCTTGGCTTCAGAAGAGGAAGACTGGCTTCTCTCGTACCTTGCATCCACGGCGTATGGTCGCGACCCTCGCCTCAACGTCGCCACTTCTAAAGTCCGTGTCACTTCATCCCTTCGCTCCGCCAGCACCTGCCGCACCAGCATTTCTACCAGCCTGCCTAGAGCGGCGCCTGCTGCTCGTGCCGACGCGCGTCCAGGTCGATTCTCGCTGGCAGTGCCGTCCACCATGGCGGTCGACCTCATGGTTGAGTCCGTCAGTGCAATCCGCTCGGACAAGCCCCGATGCGAGGATGCAAGGGACTCTTGCGCCAGTCACGCCGATTCGAGACCTGACGGCGCGCACACTGCCTGGAGCCAGCCGTGCGACCTTCCGCCAAGCTTTCTAGACGCGTTGGGCCCCGCTCGCGTGCCGCTCGGCAGCGCGCAACTTCCTCGGCTTAGAGCACTGCAATCTGATCTCCCTGTGGGGGCGGCAGCGGAGTCGCCGCGGCGAGGCGAGCTAGAGTCCCCAAGCGACAACTTCGAACGCTGGGTCGCGGCGGGCGACACGCAGCGTGCACGGAGGCAGTCCATGGTGGCGGCCCGCAGCCATCCCAATGCAGGCAGTGCGACGGCCACCGCGGGCCGCCGAAGCATGCAGGTGCCGCGTATGTCCATGAGTGGGCGACGACAGTCCATGGATTACTCAGAACTCGACGCCGTGCGCGAAAGGTACGCACTCTGCCGCCAGCGCGCGCCGCACCTGCACGTGTGTCGAATGGCGAATCTCCTGTCTCATTGCGCTCGTTTTTATATTTCCGTTTGAGCAGGCTTCAGCACGCTGCCAGCATGTGGGCGCTTGAACTGGACGACAGCGCAGGCGACGATCAAAGCGACGACGACGATGAGCAGTGCGACGAAGAGGTCATGGGCGACGCGTCCACACACTCGCCTTCCATGGCTAAGACAACCTCGGCCACAGCAGCGCCGCAAGGTGCGGGCAGCAGTCACTCGAATGGCAAGGGGGCGTCTCGGAAGCAGCGGCGACCATCCAGTGGCGCCGGGATGGGCGTGCAGGGCTTCCTATCGCGGTGGATGCATAAGGGTGTTGCCTAGGTTGGCAACACACTGCACTAACCACAGGTTGGGGGGGAGAGTCGTGCTGACCCACATTGGGGTCAGTTTTGGATTCAAGCTAACGCCTTGTGTTGGCGAACCTTGTAATTTGTATTTGGTGCTTAACCCTAGCAATTCTGCACCTGCCTCTGGGAGTACCTTACAAAGAATGGATGGGGCCTGGACAAAGAATGGATGGGGCCTGGACAAAGAATGGATGGGGCCTGAACCAAAACTATGCATGCCTACTGATCGCTCATTACAGCCTAGATTAGGCATATTAGAAAGCTTTGGTATAGGCAAAGGTATATTACTCGAAAACAGGGTGACCCTTGTTAAGTTGTAATGTGTTATATATATGTGGGTAGGCTGTAGTGGGGTAGCCAATACAGGGTACAAACCCAACTAGGGTTAGCTACTTGTACCCAACTGTTTCTTTCAATGCATCATTCTTACGCTAGTATTCTGATATGGTATTCAGAGCAGGTGGTCCCTAGGACCATCCGATCGTTTTTTTTAGGGCCCACCACCGCACGCTGCGGTTACCGCGTTACCCCCGCGCCCTACCCTCGTAGCGCCCTCGTTGCGCCCTAGCGCCCTCGTAGCGCCCTTGTAGCGCCCTCGTGCGCCCTGCCGACCGGTGTCCTACCAGCCCAGAGCCCCGCGCGCCTCCCCCTCCCCTGCTTTGCCCGTCGCGCCGCCCGCTCTGCCCCGCGCTGCCCGTCGCGCTGCCTCGCAGCCCCGCGCACCGCCCGCTGTGCCCCGAGCCGCCCGTCGATCTGCTGCGCAGCCCCGCGACCCGCCCGCCCTGCCCTGCGCTGCCCGTCGCTCGGCTCTGCAGCCCCGCGCGCCGCCCGCTCTGCCCCGCGCAGCCCGTCGAGCTGCCTTGCAGCCCCGCGCGCCGCATGCTGTGCCCTGCGCCGCCCGTCGCGCTGCCCGCCAGCCCGCCGCGCTGCCCGCTTGCGGAGTCGCCCGCCAGTCGCGCTGCCCGCCTGCAGCGCCGCCTGCCTGCCGCGCTGCCCGTCCACAGAGCCGCCTGTCCGCCGCGCTGCCCGCTTGCAGCGCCGCCTGCTGCTCCCTACCCGTGTGCAATTGCCCACCCTTGCTGCGGTAGCTTGCGCTGCTCTGTCATACTGTCGCTATGGCTTCCATCCGCGTGCTGTCGTTCGATGCTGAGGGCCGCCCTGTGCAGTTCACCACTTGGCTAGATGACCTGCAGCTGTTCCTCCTGAGCGATAGCAAGGAGCATGTGTCGCTCTATGATTATGCGTCTGGTGCTGCGCCTGCCCCTCCTGCCACAGCTGAGCTTAGTGTTCGTTCCCACTGGCAGACTCGTGACGCAGCTGCTCGCCTAGCCATTCGCAGTCACCTGCCGTTAGCTGAGCTCGAGCATTTTGGCGACTGCAAATCCGCTAAGGCCCTGTACGACGCTGTCGTTGCTCGCTACTCCTCACCGGCCACAGCTGAGCTTAGCCGCCTCATGCTGCCTTACCTGTTCCCTGAGCTGTCCACCTTTGCTACAGTCGCCGATCTTATCACCCACCTTCGCACTAGTGACGCTCGCCTGCGTGCCGCCCTTCCCACTGAGTTCTGCGCTAAGAACCCCCCTCCACTGTACTGGACACTCCACTTCATAGTCACCCGTCTCCCTGACACCCTCAGCTCAGTGCGCGACTATTTCCTTGCTCGCTGTCCCACTGAGCTCACTGTCGCCCTCCTAGAGGAGAAGCTGCTAGCAGCCGAGAAGAGCATTGTAGCTGTCGGTGCTGCTCGCGGCGCTCCTCGCACCCCCATCTTTGAGGGGTGCTCTCCCTCTCCCCTCGCTCCCTCCTATGCTACTGCTGCTGCTGTTGACTTCCTTGGTGCTGAGTCTGCTGGCGCTGCTTCTGCTCCTGGTGGGAGGCGCCGCACCGGCAAGGGCAAGGGGGGCAAGGGTGGCGGGGGTGGCGCTGGGGGGGGAGGAGGTGGGGGAGGTGGGGGGGGAGGCGGTGCTGGAGGGAGCGGTGGCGGGAGTGCTGGTGGGAGTGGGGTCGGCAGCGGAGGCGGGGGCGGCGGAGGGAGCGGTGGCGGTGGTGGCGGCGGCGGCGGCGGCGGCGGTGGCGGCGGTGGCAGTGGCGGCGGTGGCGGTAGCGGCAGTGGCGGTCGGAGCGGAGGTGGTGGTGGCGGCGGAGGTCGGAGTGGTGGCACTGGCTCGGGCCAGAGCTCCCAGCCGCAGCAGCGTCCCCAGTCGACCCAGCAGCTTCGTGAGTGGCTTGCTCAGCGTGGGACGTCGGGGGGCAACCGCCGCTGTTCCTATGTCATTCGCACAGGTGACCGCAAGGGACAGACGTGTGGGAGGTTCCACACCCCGTACCGCTGCTTCTCCCGCCTTGACGACGCTTGGCGTGAGGAGATGGGCGAGGATGTTGAGCGCCCCTGCTGGGCGGAGCTGATGAGGGCTGGTGTTGATATCTTTGCTCTTGACTATGATGCTATTATTGCTGCCATGTATGCATTGGCTGTTAGTGCCGAGGGAGACTGTTACTTGTGTGTGCCGCCTGACCCAGGTATAGAGCCCGCTCCCCTAGGTACCAGTGAGTCTGCTCTCTCTGGTATGGTGCCCTCTGTGTCTGCTCCCTCCAGTGCTGTCCCTGCTGCTTGTGAGTCTGCTCTCTCAGGTACAGCACCCACAGAGACTGCTCTCTCAGGTACTGCACCCGCTGAGGCCTTGCACACCTTCACCCTTGACTCAGGTGCTTCTCGCTGTTTCTTTCGTGACAGTACTGAGCTCACACCGCTTCCTGCACCGGTCCCAGTCTCCCTGGCTGACCCCTCGGGGGGCCCAGTCCTTGCACGGTCCACCACTGTGCTTCCGTGCCCGGCGGTTCCGTCTGGCTCGTTGTCGGGTTTCCACCTCCCCTCGTTCTCGACGAACCTGGTGAGCAACGCTGTCATCCAGGATCAGTGGGTTGACACCTTCACCCCTGGAGGACAGCGTGTGGCGATCCTCACGTGCTCCAGGACCGGCCGTCACCTGGCTACGTGTACCTGTCAGCCGGGATCGACTCTCTACACACTGACCACTGCGTCTCCTCAGGTCGCTGCTGTCGGTCAGGTGTCCGCGTCAGGTCTGGTAGCCCACGCCTGTGAGTGTCGTTCCCTGTCGCACCAGACTCTTCTCTGGCACCACCGCCTGGGTCACCCCTCCTTGCCACGCCTCCGTGGCATGCACCGTCGCCACCTTGTGTCTGGTCTTCCCAGGTCCCTCCCTCCCCTCCCTGCCTCGCCTGCGCCGCCCTGCCTTCCTTGCGTCGAGGGGCGGCAGCGCGCCGCTCCTCACTCCTCCTCGTTCCCCCCGACAGAGGCTCCTCTGCAGACCCTCCACCTGGACGTGTGGGGCCCAGCCCGCGTTCGTGGCCAGGGCGGTGAGCGGTACTTTTTGCTGGTTGTCGACGACTACTCGCGTTACACCACGGTCTTCCCCTTGCGCACCAAGGGTGAGGTCCCTGCTGTTCTGATCCCTTGGATCCGCACGGTTCGTCTCCAGCTCCGCCGCCGTTTCCGGACAGACCTTCCTGTCCTGCGTCTGCACTCTGACAGAGGTGGTGAGTTCTCCTCCGACCTCTTGAGGACCTTCTGTCAGGCGGAGGGCATTGAGCAGACCTTCACGCTTCCGGACTCCCCGCAGCAGAATGGGGTTGCTGAGCGCCGCATTGGCCTGGTCATGGAGGTCGCTCGTACCTCCTTGGTCCATGCGGCGGCTCCCCATTTTCTGTGGCCGTTTGCTGTCCGGTACGCTGCGCATCAGCTCAACCTCTGGCCCCGTGTCTCCTTGCCGGAGACCTCGCCCACACTGCGTTGGACGGGGGAGGTTGGCGATGCGTCGCGCTTCCGGGTGTGGGGTGCTCGTGCCCTTGTCCGCGATACGTCCGCGGACAAGCTCTCCTCCCGCACGCTTCCCTGTGTCTTCCTTGGCTTTGTCCCTGACGCGCCTGGCTGGCAGTTTTACCACCCCACCTCGCGCCGGGTCTTCGCCTCTCAGGACGTCACCTTTGACGAGTCGGTCCCTTTTTACCGTCTCTTCCCCTACCGCACTGCCCCCCTCCCTCCCCCGCCGCTTTTCCTTGCTCCTGGTCCCCCTCCGGTAGACCCCCTCCCCCCTCAGGGTCCTGCTCCTTCAGGTGTCTCTCAGGTAGACCCTCCTCCCGTCGCTGAGCCTGTCGAGGTCACAGGTGACTCAGGTGCTGCTGCAGGTGGTGCTGCTGGGAGTGCTGAGCCTGGGGGTGCTGGGCCTGGGGGTGCTGGGGCTGCGGGTGCTGGGACTGAGGGTGCTGGAGCTGAGGGTACGGTGCCTGAGCGTACGGAGCCTGGGGGTGCTGAGCCTGGGGGTGCTGCGACTGGGGGTGCTGAGCCTGCGTGTACGGAGCCTGGGTGTACTGAGTCTGGGGGTGCTGAGCCTGGGGGTGCTGTGCCTGAGGGTACTGAGCCTGGGGGTGCTGCGACTGAGCCTACGGAGCCTGGGGTTGCTGCGTCTGGGGGTGCTCCGGTTCGGGGTGCTGAGCCGTCTCTCACACCGCAGCAGCTTCGTGACTGGTACGTCCGACGCTTTCGCCGTCCTCGTGGCCCTGCTGGAGTTGGCGGTTCTGGAGCTGCTCATCCTGGAGGTGCTCGTACTGGAGGTACTGGAGCTGCCGGGGCTGGTTGTTATGGGGGCACTGAGGCTGGAGCTGCTGGAGCTGGGGCCTCTGGGGCTGGCGGTACTGGCGGAGTTGGCGCTGCCGGCGCTGGGGGTGCTCTTCCTGGAGGTGCTGGAGCTGACGACACTGGAGCTGACGGTCTTGGAGACGTTGGTCCTGCTGGCTCTGGAGGTGCTGGCGAGGGGAGGTCTGCCGCTGCTGAGGCCTCTGGTGCTGACGTCGCCGGCTCTGGGGGTGCTGCGGCGGGGGGTGCTGGTCCTGGTGCTTCTGGTGCTGCGGGTGCTGGAGGTGCTGGCGGAGCTCCGCCGTCGCGCCTGTTCTTCG